CTTCATACCAGAGTCATCTTTTACTTACCCACGGTTGCACTAATCATTTCCGCAAACTCCATTATTGTGTACTCCACTGGATTTCCCTGCAAAGCAAAGGTGGGATTCTAAGTACTGAGAAAGCCTGCTGGCAAGTAATTTGTAAAAGCATCTAAATATTTTGGGGCTTCCAAGAATAAACCTTCCTGTATACACTGGAATCATGTTCAATAACTTACTATGTTGACTGGTTGGGAGAAATCACTGTTCATCAGAAGAATTAATCCATTGACCAAATCACTGAGAAATAATAATGCAACAAAGACATTTTGATATCATCATGGTTATTGACTTACAATTGAAACAGTGCAAAATCGCTCAAATAAGTGAGATAGTTAAACCTTACAAATAGATGTCCCTCTCTACTGAAAAATTTGGGACGCCCTAAGTTAGAAGCTTATTTCTCGTGAGCCAAACTAATTCATTCACCAACACAAACTAATTCAGCCTAAGCTTAGAAAATTTTACGAGTAAAAGGCGGGAAATTTAAATGTTATGGGAGCCACCAGTCTTTACACAAGACACGGTCACCTCAGAAGAAGTTTTTATCATTTAACACAGTTACTGAATCGAGGATGTGTCCCCAAACAACGAAATAGCTCAAACTTCTCAATTAGACGCTAGGAATGAATCAGCAAGCGTAAGCTGGAGAACCTTTCCCGAAGTCAGCGTAAATTTGACTTTTATCATTAAGTCGTCAACGTTATAATTTTTGGTGTAACAAAATTGGTCTCCAAGGCGAGGACACGGATAAGCGTCGGTGGTTTTTTAAAAGGGCATATGAAAAAAGATATCTCCGCCCTTATGAAGAGATCTGCGATGCACGTCTGCCTAAATTCGGCGTGCCTGCTCCGCGGGCAATACCGTAATAAATGTGAACCACTTTTACTGTTACTTCCGTAGACAAGATGTTTACCTCACAAGGCACCTTACTAACCTGATATACTGAAACGACCTTGTTTGCTTTCCACTTCCGTAAACCTGGTTGATGGAAAATAGAGAAAGTTCAGCAATGAACACAAAGGGCCGGTTATTTACCGCGGTTTTATGCCAGCAGTGGGCCTTGCGTATTCTCTAGAAGAGGGTTGGTTCATTAAATAAATCAGTGTCCTTCCTCTGTTAGCTTCCGGTCCTCCTGACACTGTTCACGAAAATAAATGTTCAGATAAAAGGTTCAGCTAAATTGAAGATGGCTTGGAACGCGGTTTTGTTAAACAACGGCTAAAATTTGCTGTAATAACCGGCCCAAAGAGTTCAGCCTCCTTAAAAGCGACACCCATCACCATTAAGTCTATCTGCATGCAGCTCCGGACAACAATTATTCACCATTTCCCAAGAAACTAGATCACTTATATCATGATTTCCTTACCGTTAGTGGCTTCCCTTCTAAAGCTTGCATGATGAAGTTACTAACAACACGACCTGTTTTGAAGAAAACATACCAAACTGATCTTGTGACTACATTTTGTTATG